TTGCGGTCATCGGAACTTGGCTGACACCCGACATTATGGATTCAGAATTACGCTTAACCGACATGATTCAGACGCGATGGTGTACCGCTCTCCCTCATCCACAGACTCAGTCAATGAGACATTATTTCAAACTATGTATCACATTCTGTCACTGAAGTGCACACATTTTCTGATTATGGGCGACCTCAATTGCCCAAATCTCGCTAAATCAGTGACTTCTCTACAACCGTTTGAGAGGAAACTCACTCAGCTTATGGAATCCTATCCACTTTTGTGAAGGAACCGACGAGGTTTGGAGCCAACCAGTGATCATCTGTTTTGGACTTGTTTTTTTATTACACACGAAGTGATCTACAGCAAAAGGGGTAAACCCCATAATCAACGAAATACTGTAAGGGGAGGAATTTGGGGTAACGTTCAAGTAAGAATTAATTTGTGAATCCTGCTTTGGAAAAGGGTAAGGTTATAAGAGCTTGAAAACACGGAAATGGGAAGAGTGTTCCCCAACTTCGCAGTCCTCCGGAAGAAAAGAAGATTGAAAGATAGAAGTCCGACATCTGGGGACAGAAACCCGACAAGGGTGACCGCCCGCCTGAGAACGAACGAGAGAAGGTCAATGGAAGGGAAACCGCTGAAGCGATTAGGAAGAACGGAAACCAAAGTAGTAACGATGGTAAGTAGATAACGAAGCAACTGTCTGGCGATGGGACAGAGACTGCAGTTTCGAAATTAAAGGCGGTTCGTCGATCAGCCAGACGGCCTTACGTTGAACACGGTCGAGGAGAGAAAGAGCGGAATACGGAGCTCCACTCCATACGTGACTGCAGTATTCAAGCATAGGGCGGATTTGAGCTTTGAATAAAAAGAAAAGGTGCTTGGGTGTAAAGAAACGCTTTGCGCAGAATAGAAAACCAACGTTGCGCGCAGCGCGAGAGACAAGTGTGGAAATAAAAGGGCTCCAACAGAGAGAAGAATTTATGGATAAACCCAGGAGGAAGAGAGAATTTGTGGAACGAAGGGGCATAGAATCAAAAATCAATTGAGGAGAAAAGGAGGCATGTTTAAGAGAGACTGAGAGGACAGAAGTTTTTGAAGCATTGAAACACGCATGGTTAGTAGAACCCCATGCGGAGATTAGTCCGAGGTCGGAGGCAAAAGAAGCACTAATGACATGACCGTCGTGATCGATGTTGGTATAAGCTTGACATATTGTGGGCTAAGAAAGAGAACGATGGACAGTGGCATCATCGGCGAAGCAGTGGATGGGATTAGAGGTTTGGGATAAAAGATCGTTGATAAATAAAAGAAAGAGGTTGGGCGTAAGTATGGAACCTTGGGGAACACCGGTATTCACAGGAAATGGCCGAGATAGGACCCCATCTACTCGGACGGAAATGGTTCGCTTGCAAAGGAAACATCGGAGCCACGATTCCAGAGACAGATGGAATCCAAACGTGGGCAATTTCGACAGCAGACCTTCATGCCCGACTGCACCTCGACATGGTGTGATGGCTTATACCAAACCCTATGAGACTAGAAAAGCAACCGCTTCTAAGTATTTACCATAACAAAAGTTTGACTTTGACCGAGCATTTGTTTCTGGCTTGCTCGAAGCGCTTACTGGATGCTGGATTGGGTGAGTGGTGCCAACGCCGGAATGCTGAGTTTTTAAAACATACAGCACGGCTGCAAGCATGGTTAAACCACTCAGGGGTCGTGGTTTGCTGGGTTTGGAGAAGTGTGGAATATAAAGATACATGCCTTGAAGAACAATCTCCGTAGGTCTGAAACATACTTGTAAACATCCGATTTGAAACAACAATCTAGAAAGTCACGAAAACCGTCCCAGTTGGCTGAATCGTAAAGCCAAAAGGTGCGTCTGGACTTAGGTGTTGAAATGGAGTGAAAGAAGTGAGTGAGAAAAGAAATGAGACGATGGTCCGATGAGCCTAATGGGGAAAGGGAAGTGATGTTAGAGAAAGAAGAGGTAATGTATGTGAGGATGAGGTTTAGGATGTGATCGTGGTCACCAATACGATCAGAGATGCGTGTGGGGGGTCAACTAGTTGACTTAGATTGTTGATCACAGCAAAAGCCTCGGCTTCGCGTCCCATGAACGTAGTGTTTGAGGAGTGCTTCAGCCATTCCTTGTTGTGGACATTGAAATCTCCGACAACGGCAATTTGGCTGTTAGAATCTGCTGCCATTAGTGTCTCAATGAATGAAGACAGAATATCAAAAATAGAAGAATCGTTGCTGCTCGGGGAGCTATAGTCAGTAAAAAAATAGTGGTTGAAAGAAGGGATCGAAGTTTCAGCCACATAAGCTGAACTTCACGGTTAGAGGAGTCTAAGTGCGAAAGTTAGGAAGAAGCTAACGAGGAACTGATGGTGGAAACGATTTCCACTGCAACTCCATTAGGTCGTCGTGATTATGCTGTGTTGACGTTTGACTACCTTTACTATTTGGCGAACCATTGGCAGTTCACCTGAGGGAGTTGGCTAAAATCCCTGATTCCAAACCAACGAAGAAGAGGCGTTCGAACCACACGCACATCTTCCTGGTCGCGGCAGTGGTCACCGGCTCAATTGGGCATCGAGTTTCATTGGGAACCTTGGGTGTTTGACCCCGTCCAAACAGCGTATGTTCCATTGAACTGGACACCAGCCCCCAATGGACTGCGGACTCTGAGCTCCATCCTGTTGTCTTGCAGGTTGGCCTTTCTAGCCAAAGGCGTCGGGTGGGGACCTCGAGGATATCCCCCTTCCTCGGTCATAACAACCGGGAAGTAACATGCCCGTACAACCTATGAACACATTCTTCAGATTTCTTTTCGTTCATATGTTGTGGCACATTTGCCAGTTTCCTGTACTCAGATACGTGTTGAAATAAATAAATAAAAATAATACATTTGCTGTGCATCCGTACCGCATATTTCAACGGTTAACTCCTATGTGTCTGTTGACTACACCAAACTTTAGATTTTGGCAACAGACTTCCAATGGGAATCTCCCAATGAACAGTGTTTGATCCCTGGGTACCCTGGGAAGAATTTACGAATCAACTGAAGGAAATGGTAAAGAGCATAACCAAGACCAAACACATTACCTACTCAACTGGTTAAAATCAGTGATTCGAAGCCGAACAAAGAAGTGGATTTCGCAGAGGAATATCTCGTCGAGAGCAACAACACGTAGTATACCTAGTGTCTGCATCAAAAATACTGCACCAAGTTGGCGCGAGAAGACAAGTTAGTGTACCAAACAATGCTGATGCCCAAGTTTATGTCAAATCCCCAAGCAGTTGTACAAACACATAATTGCCACCAGAAAAGTTAAGTCTGGCGTTCCAGGGCTAAGATTGGCAGAACATGTTTCAGTCACAACAAAGGAGGTAACTGAAATGTCAAAAAGTCAGTATGCTCAAGTGTTTACCGCACCTGCGAACACCGGACTACGACTGCCTTTGTTACTTGAAGATATACCATACCCAACGCTTAACACAATTGATTTTCCCCCAGAAATCTTAGCATCGAAACTTAAGTGTTTGAAAAGGAATTTATCTCCGGGGATAGATAATATTCATCCTCCAAACCTTATCAAACTGGCAAATAACGTAGCTCAACCATTCTGTGAGCTATTCCAACAAATGTTCGACAAAACCGTGCTCCCGTAAACATGCAAACAAGGAATAATTTCTCCAATATAGGAGGGTGGCTGTCCTAGTGACTCAGTTTTCGGTTTGAACAACCATTAACCATGCACTTTTGTGCACCAATTTTAGTTGCTGTCTTTTGATCCAGTGATCCAGCTAACTACCGCGCCGTTACTCTCCTCTCTTTATTATCCAAAGTCATGGGACCCATTTTTTCAGACAATGTGATGAGTCACATGGAAAAGTACTACTTGTTATCCCCTGCTCAACATGGATTTCGTCGCAGCCGATCGTGTACTACTAACCTGCTTCTGGTCCGAGAAGAGTGAAGAAAAGCAGCTGACCACGGTGCTGCACTGGGCGTAGTGTACCGCTACTTATCCAAAGCATTCGACCGAGTGACAAACTACACAATTATGTAATTCGATGATTTGTACTGGGTTGGAACCCGGGACCTCATGGGCAGAACGCAAGCATGCTACCCACTCGGTCACCGAGCAGCTGATCAGACCGTTTTTCATTTTCCTGGCCTACCAAAGAGACTATTTGACAAATTTGAACCTACGCTGTCCCCACAGTTTCTATCAGCTTACATTCGACCCCACATAGAATATTCAATTCAAGCGTGGAACCCATGGCTGCAATGCGATCGGAATATTCTGGAATGTCCACAACAGATGAGCTGATCGAGGGTGTATCGACCACATCTTCATTCTTCGTCAAATTCTAGAACACAGACACTCCTTTCGCAGACCCACCATCCCTATCTTCCTCGATCGGAAAACAGCTTTCGATTCATTCGACCGCTCCAAAGTCTCGCGCTCCTCTCTCTGAAAGATGTGCCCGAGAAGTTTATTTCAATATTACAATCCCATTATACTAATAGCCGAAGTGGAGTCCGAGTTTACGGCACGTTTTCGCCCGAATTCACCACGGAAAGTGGTGTTCGACAGGGTTGTTCTTTCTCTCTTCTTTTCTATTTAACTTTGTTATAGATCTGATTATGGAAACAGCCCTATCCTCCTACGGGCATAGCGGCACCGATTTACTCCCAGGTGGTAGACTGTCTGATCCAGAGTATGCAGACGACATTGTGCTGCCAAGTGAAGATTCAGGTAAGTTGCAAGCTTTTCTGGATAGTTTGAGTGCTGGTGCAGCCATGATCAGCATGCATTTTGCACTTTCAAAATGTAAAATGTTGCTACAAGATTCGGTTGGTCCAGCACCCAGTCTTGCCCTGACTTGAGAAGTTGTAGCATTCGAAGACTTACGTAGAAAGACTGGAGTCATTAAGTGTGTACTGCACACAGTATCGAGGGGACTTGTTTTTGGTGTATCGAATAATGCAGAATCCTGATCACCCATATCCTTCACTGTTTGCTTTGTCATCCAGCACTCACCTTAGAGGGCATTCATTCAATATAGTGCTCCAAAAATGTCGACTAAAATGCCGGCGTCATTCATGTGCTCTCAGTGTGTACTATTTAGAATTCTGTACCACTCCACGTTGTTTCTGCTCCCCCAATGGATTCTTTCAAGGACAAACTGGATAAAACTTTAACAAGTCTTAAATTCCAACATCCATAGCATCAAACCAGGATAATTGGTGATATTCTATGAACACCAAATCTATCCATTTGCGCTAAACCCTTTGGTACTAGAAAAGCAACCGCTTGTATTTCCCATAATAAAACTTTGACTTTGCTCCAGTCAGTGAAAGTTTACCACGTGTCAACAGTTTCTCATGTCATAGGTTTACTAGAGTGTCGGTTCGGGGGAATGTGATCGCAAGTACACACTGAGTGTACTGGGCGTTTGCCCAGGTTAGCATACACCACAATTCAACTGCTTTAATAGAGAAATGCTGTGTTGATGAATTGGTCTTTGGTCTTTGGTGTTTCCCCACATGGTTTTGAATTCATCCCTTTCGGCGTGTTTGGTGCTGTATTTGCCATAGAATTCTATATACTGGTTAAAACAAAAAGTGTTGGGCGGTTGTTTCAGGCTTGGGGCGATGCATTACGAGTACCTGATCCGTGTGTGTGTGTGTGTGTGTGTGTGTGTTTGTCGACGTTTGAACTGCGAACACTCAGGGCACGAACCGAAACTCCTGTCTCTGAGCTAAACAACCAACACCAAAAGTGCACAGGACTGATCGGTTACACTATTTTCTTCTTTTGTCCGTATAAACAAACAGTTAACTCAGTCTGTATTCCCATATGTTCTTGCACACGCATAGTTCCCTTGTTTATAACCACGAAGCCATGATATCCGTATGAGACAATAATGCGATCTCGTTCATAATTTCCCCGCTTTTCTTTCTCCGTGCCCCAGATCATCAAGGCACTTTTTCCGGGCAGATCATTTTGGAATGTGAAATTTTAGACAAAAAACGAACATTTTGTATCGATGTATCAAATGTGATCGCTGAACGGCTGTTACGTGCTAATGTGGACTTACCGTTGCATCGACTCGGGGGAAAATTGCAAATGGACGAGATGAGTGACCGACACAAAGCGACTCAAATTGGTGAGAAAAATGAGTCAGAACAGGCAGAGTTGCGTAAGAAGATTGAGCAGTTATCATGTGCTCTGAACATAATATCACCGTACACCGCGTTCATTGGTGTTGATCCCGTTAAGGGAGGTAAGGCATTCAGTCGTTTTACAGGTTTTTGTATAGATATTATTGAACCATCTAATGCTGATGATTGTTTTCCTTCTACTTAGTAATAATAATAGTACTATCACAGAGATGGACAGTAGCACTTATATTCCGATTTTAATATGCGCAGAACCATGTTAGTTACTTTGTTTTGACAAAATATTGAAAATTGGTTCTCTTAGCTCGGGTGAACTGAATTCCCTTGCGCCTGTTCGCCGAACTTGGAATTTGTTTGCAAACGTTTCATCACCAGCCGAGGTGACATCATCAGTGCTTGTGAAGTGGCCACTTCACACTTCAGTTACTTTGTTTGTCTGCATTAACCCTACATTTGGTGCGGAGCACAGAGTCTGACTTGCGAGCCAGCATTTAGTAATTAGAAGATGGAAAAGCATACAAAAAACGTGACCGATCTATCAAGGGCGGGGCAAAACCATTACTCTTTCTATAGAACGATTATCCGCACCCAACACCTGACTGAGAAACCGCATCCTTGCTTATCCAAACAGGAGCAACGTTTCGAAGATATCGATGGTCGAGTCCAGAAAACCGATTATCATCCTCAGCGCGAGGGGCCAGATTTCGCAACCGTAAATCTGAACAATAATGAACTGCGGTGATGTATACCCTTTCCTTCTGGGACAGTCAGATGACATGGTGGCATCTCTCATTTCTCGCTGGTTGGTAAGGGCTGTTCTATCTTGTGCTTTTCCTGAGGTGATATCTTACCCAACTCCGGTTCCAGCTAAGATCAAACTCCCGAGGCACTTAACGGCTTCGACTGCTCTTACGTGATCACTGCAAAGAGTGAGTTCAAGCAGAGGCTCCTGGCAGTCTTGCACAAACACTTTGAATTCGGAAGACGTAGAGTAAATTAAATAACTTAAAATCTCAATCGCCAAGCGATTCAAAGCAAGTTGAACTGCTTGTGTACAGTCATCCAATAAGTCGATTTCGTCGGCGTATTCCAGATTGATAACACGGTTCTGTAGAAAGTGTTCAAGCTCACCGTTTGCCAAACCAAGTATTTGAACCTGTGGGACATCCTTCTTGATAAAGTTGAAAAGGAATAGGGTAATAAGAATAGCTTTGTCTCACTCCACCGGCTACTGCAAAACGTGACGAAAGCTTGCCATTCGCCTCAAGTGATGTAACTCTTTGACGGCTGACACATTTCTTAATTTCTCAACCTACAGTTTTGTGATTCACTTTAATCGATGGAATGGCAGGTAACGCCAATTTTTGAGAACTATATGATCATTAGAATTCGAGAAGCACGGTATTACTCTCGCAAATGTCGTAGGATTGAGGTTTTATTGATGCATCCATGATAGGCGCCAAAACTAGCCTGCTCCTGCTCTTCATACCCATTGTACACTGGGTGGAGGATGACAGGCGTCTTGATGCTCTGCAGATAATGTCCTTTTGGTTGGCGCGGTCACTGCATGAACCCGTTTTAAAGACGGGGACAACAATCGGTTCCTCCTTCGCACACCTTTATTGATGTATACGCGAATGTCAGATAGTTTGTAGGCGTGATTTCATATCACTCTTGTTTGTTGTTAAACGTTGGTTCGAAGATGACTGCATCCAGTTCTCTAAACCTGATCTGACGTGTTGATTTATGAGCGAATGTGCTGTTAAATTTCACATTTGTCCTTATCATTATATTTTAACGTTTCAGAGCCAATTAAACATCCCAAACCTCAAGAAGTCGCTTATGAGTACGTTGCTTTTTTAATTACTGTGTTTGCTAGTTGTTATTCCTCTTTTCTTGTGTCGCGGCTTGCAACTGTAGCTGTTCCGGTGTAGAAATGAACATTCAAATCGGTTCGTTTGTTGTGTGTGTGGACCAGTGTAAATATAAATCTTGTTTGCACCACCCGGGACTCTAAGGTAATGGGTTCCTTATCGTCTACATTAAGTGCTGTTGTATTGCCGAAGAAATGTCATCATCATCGAAACGGGTTAGCTGTCAGTCTGGAATCAACCACACCCGACAGCATTAATTAACACTAGTTGCCAATCAGGAATGCTCTGCGTTCTGCATTTCTAGTTAGTTCTGACTTAACGTTGTATCCTAACACCCGGGGCCTGGCAACGCTATGATAACTTTGTCTCAACTGCAAACTCGCAGAAGGCCATGACGGCACAAACGGAACCCATGTCAACATCTATTTTGAAAGATAGAAAGTGATATATCACCAGTGCTTTTCGAAAAGCGTGCTCCTACTGGATCTTCTTCGCCGCGGCCATACAGGTTGCCCGAAGTGCATAAACCAAATCTCCGATCAACGATATGTCGAATTCTCCACTTCATGTCATCCTCCAATGCATCATGGAACTTGAAAAACCGGTACGCTATGAGGCAGTGAACTAAGATCAAAAGGGTGAATTTGTATTTATGAAGAACTTAAAAAAACTTGATGTTATCTACAAACCTGTGGTGTCTTTTGACGTGAGATCCTTATTTACAAACACCACTGATCGTAACAGTTAACTACATGTGTGATATTTTAGTATTTAACATCATTCGCATCGTAATCCGGATTAATAATTAGAAGTAGTTTATTCTCAGGTTCTTATTTAACATAAGACCTTATGTAATGACTATTTCCATGCACAGATCAACGCTGTAGCTTTGAGATCTCCAGTATGCTCGATACTAGGCCATTTTGAAGAAACTACTCAACGCTTTGATGTTTATTCCAGCTACATCGATGGCACAATTTTTCTTTATGATTCCCACATCAGCCACGCACGGCTTTTCAATAAGATAAACACCTGTCATCTGGCTATTCGTTTCACCCGTGAATTAAAAAAGCAGATAATTACCCTTCTGTAGTGTGCTATCAAGCATGCGCAACGACGTTACCAGGCAACGAAATGTGGGTTAGACAGTACATGTATTTTGATTGCTTCATTCCCCTGTTGCCTGTCATAGCCAGCGTATGCAATTTCCCGCGATGACATGGTGCACTTCGATGTGTCTCTTATTCTTGACTTGCTTCAGTCAAATGGTTATCCAGAAGCCTTTGTGATAAACATATTTGTATTTGTGTAACTTGTGTAAGTTTATATACTTACATTTCAGTTAAAAATATTCACTGGTTATCACGCAGAATAAAATATACAGTTTCATATAACATGTAAAGTGAAGAATGTCGCTGATGTTTGTCCATGTACAACTCCATTTTTCTGACTTTGTCAGCATACTTTTCAATGTGATTTAAGTAAAAATCATCAAAAGCCAAACCGTTCCTCGAAAGAAATTTTTCATTTGTGGTTCGTCGGAATTTCTCAAAAGCCGTCTGAGGCAATCTCTGAACTTTTCCATCACCACGACGCGGCTCTTAATGTCACAGCAGACAGAATTATTCTGTCTCATCAGTCCAAATCCTTTGTTTTA